CGTGAATCCGTGAAATGGTTGGTGCAAAAGTGTGCAATTCTGATTGGCTCTTATTCGAATCGTTCGGATCCATCTTTTGGTCTGTAGCCGGTTCACCACTCATCCGTCCACCCGACGTCACTTTCGGTTGATTTCGGAGGCTTGCGTTCGAAAATCGGTGAGTCGAACTGTGTAGCTCTTATGGTCAAACTTTTTTCATCCATATGCTTCTCTTGGATATGAGAGTATAGCCGCCCTGCCATAAATGTGTTCAGGCTGTCACCGGTTTCCAAACCCCCATTCCATTTGACATGATTCTAAACATTGGTCTTTTCGTATTAGAGTCAGTTGTTGTACTTGGCATCGATGCCCTCCAGCCTGATAACCCTCCATAGGCAATATTGACGTTTCCGCCTTGTGGATGGAGATTCTTGCCGGGTTAGCCTGGCGGATTCGACGACTCGGCAGTTAGTGCACAGGTGCGGGGCGATTACCCGAACTCAGCGGTTCGAAGGGTCAAATGGTTATTGGTTGTCAGGTTTTCCGCTAATCGCAAGAAAGGAATATGGGTGTCAGGCGTGGCACTGTCTCCAAGTTCCGTGACGTAAAACCAAAGCATTTCCGACTAGAAGAGTCACGATAATACGAACCCAAAAGATCCCTAAACTACGTTTTGGAGCTGGTGAAAGCGACGTTTTGAGGTAGGCTGCCTCACGCGCCTACAACCCACCACCGGAGGAAGCGTTGTCCTGCGAAGTTACGCGCTCTTGAACAGGTTTCTTATTTGCCCCCCCCCTGTTTTCGTTAGGGTGGAGTTTGGGGAACATAAAGCCAAAATAATTTCGCATAGTGTGGTAGATATAGATTTCTGTAGTCCGAAAACAGGGTTATTGTGACATTCAAGCCTAACCACTGCTCCAACCTAGCTATCCTGCGCAAGGTCTGGTCAATTCTTGTCGAATTTACTCAGAGCATGTTCACATCACTGGAGATGGCCATGTTGAATTCTTCGTCAGTAGTGCGAAATGTGGCACTGGTGCCCGATGAAACTGTTGGATAATCCGTCCTCGCATCAGGCATCGACCCTGTTCGATCAAAAATCCTGACAGTAGTGAACTCAAAGTTGTCAGGTCACAGATGTATACATCTGTACCGGACGAATTTCAGCATCCAACACACGAAACTTCATATTGGGGCTTATTTATGATTGCATACATTGGCGATTTTAGTACTATACGCAGTCTCATAGAGCGGCATTCGTTCTCGGAGATTTCATATTCGTAGACAAGTCGATGGATTCGTGCGTGCATTCGAGAGTTTCGCCTTACATGTGTTAAACTCTGACGTGCGAATTATGGTGACACATGCTGTTGGAGGCTGTCGGTACCTGTGCTACGACATTTTGTAGGACGGCATATCATCAGCGTGGCCCACATTTATGGCTCCGTTAGTAGTAGTAGCAGTCTGTGTAATGGGCTGTGACGTGTCTCACTATATATTGAATTACATGAACCCACGAGAGCAGTTTTTGTCTGCTCTTCGTGAGTTCGAATGCGGGATTTTAAACCGGTCTCGTAATCTTCCCCTTTTAATTAGTACACTAAAAGATACACCATCGGCCCTTAGGAGGATCTGTGAGAGAATCTCTGGACCCGGAAGTTGATGAAGTGGGCCATAATGTTTTGCTGAAATTAAAGCAGCCGAAACCAAGCAAATACGTGACTGGCGCAAGCTTACATTAGGCGGAATCCTTCTCGGTTTGGGCTTAATTCTTGATCCATTGTTTTATTGAGGTGGCGCAGGTATAGCATGGAGAAAGTCCTAACCGTGCTACCTACAAGGATGGTCCCTCTACAGTTTTACTCAGCTGTTGATACCTCATAGTCTTTGGAGCACTACTGGGTACATAATGGCCCCTGCAGGGTTTGTTGAACCACAGGTAGATGAATTGAATATTCCTGCAGAGGTACTGTGATCTCTTATGGAGTATCTGTTTTTGAACCGTTTTTTATCGCCGCACCACTTTGATCCCTGCTTGTCTGACACACGTAGCTTTCGGGGACTGGTCCTGCGGACCAACTAGAATAATCTTCGGGTATTATCGGTTTCCTATATCCATCCCATCTCCTTAGCTCTCGGTGTCTAACAGGTTTCACGGTCGGCGCTTACGTTCACTTTCACTCGACGTATGATTATTCGGCTGACTTAATTATATTTCGGGGCCAGCAGGAATGTTTTCCCGATTTTTGAACAGTGCCAACATTTAGTCTGATATCCGGTGCTGGAGTTGGTCTGGCAGCACTGCGCCACAGGTAAATCCCAGCATTATGAAGAAATATGGCGATCTCGTTCCAACATGAAATTACATGCAGGTACAATGAATAGAGAACAATGAATTTCCCACTTGTGTGACTCTTTGAGTAACGTTGCCAAAGAACCGCACGTGGTATTCAGTCAGGCAAGGATGTTTCCGTCTGGTGACTTGGGACGACACCGACCCGTGCACCTCCTGCCGCAGTGACCTCTGAATTGCCAGGAGTTCGCAACCGAAATTTGAAGGAGAGTGATGGGATAGTTAGCTTAATTACCGTGCCTGCATCTTGAATTCTCGTTTCTGAAACACAGCACACCTCAGTGTCGAGCTGGTTCGGTGTGAGAGCAAGAGCGGCTTCTTTCCTACGTGCTTCAAGGGTGAACATCAGAAGCAGCCAGATAGACTGGGTATCCAGGCTTGAGGATTGGTTGCGAGCTTCCTGAGGAAGTCAGTGCAGATGTTGCTGCCAAATCTGATGCTAGATGAGCAGAGTCATCCGTCCTAACAAACTAGCCCACAAGGAGAGAGTTATTGATGCGTTTGTGGGAGGGGGGAGAAAAGGTATGTGAAATAGAAAGAATGGAGGCGTCAGCACCAGCCTGTTTTAGCGTAGCCGCCTTGCCGTTTGCAGCAGGTAAGTCGACCCCGATGATGGCACCAGGCGACGGCCGACATGTCCAGAGATTATTTGTAAGCATGATATCCATGTTTGCGTGTTGGCTGGGATGAAATCTGGGCGCTCAGATCTAGACAAGAGGACGATTGAAATCCCCAACCAAATCCTTTTGCTCAAACAACTGACCGCAAGGCATCGTTGTTCCGTGGGAAATTCAACTGCATTACGATTCTCATTGGGTAAGCTGCTACACATGTTCCGTCACCAAAACGGAAAAGCCAGGAGACTATTTAGGTCGAACCCCTTGTCGTTAACCAACTTGGTGTCTGGACTCCGTGAGTGTTGCACATATGACCCTAGTATAGCTCAACGGGGTGTGGAGGGGCGCAAACCGTGACATTACGATAAGGTCCATTCTCTTCCTGATGGGAAGGAAGCACGCGGCTGAAATCCTAAGCCTGAGCAGTGTAGTGGTCTGTCTACCCAATAAGTTAGTTTACCAGGAGTGTGTGGCAAAGTAATAAAAATAATTACGCTAAGTTGGGTATACAAAAATAAATAGGTCAGATGGAACAGACTCACTAACAATTGTTCTCTTTAAAATAGTTCGTCGTTGGCCCAGGTCAGCGAATAAACAATAATCCAATAGTGTTGGTCCAGAGGTCTTCTTCTGAACAGTTTCCACATATAATAGATTCCGAA